GCGGCGAAAGTTGGGAAGGAAACCTTTCGCCCCCTTTTTTTTTTCGCCCGAATCCACGAGATTCGGAGAGCGGAAGAGGGTGGAGCGGAGAGCGCGAAAATCGCGGAGCATGAAAATCGGGGAGGAAATGCGGAAAATCGCCTCGGTCGTCTGCAATCATGCTGCTCGGTGAGAGAAATTGCCGTAGACTATAAGGTAACGTTCTCTTTCTCTGCTCTTTCTCGACGACGCGGCCTGATTGTCGTAAGAATATAACGCGCACGTGTCGGGGGGAGAGAAGAGAACAAAACGCACGAGATTTTGTTCGCAATTCGAATATTTTGTCTGCGAGTGTTGAAAAAAATTTATCGATTACTCGTACATTAAAAAAACAATCGGAAAAAGAAGAAGACACATCTATTTTGATCTCGTAATTTGGTTTCGTAATTTTTTTTTTTTTCAGAATCAAATTTTAATAGAAATAATTTCGCCTCGCAATTGACGTGTTCTGTGCGCGACAGCGAAAGACGGAAAAATTTCGGGCAAAATCAATTTTCGAAAAATGACATAATAGCTATCCCCGACGTACCGTCAACGATATACCGGAAAAGAACTCAACTTGACAGCGAAGTTTGATATCGAATATATGCATGTGTGTATCGCAAAATATATCGCACGGGGATACACAAGTCAATCGTCGATCAATGTGTACACGTACTACGTATACACGCAGCCTTGGATGCACGAGGTCGAACGGAATGAAGCAATGGCGCGTGAAAAGCTCCAGATAACCCGGCAGATATTTCGAGCGGCATATCGGCAAAGCTCAAAGAGTTAATCGTATGTCCGCGAGGCAGAGGACAGAACGGGGGAGGCGAAAAAAAAGCGCCGCGAGCCGGCCGCGCGTGTATTTTCGATAATTATTCGACAGTCGATTTGCGTGCGGATGGACTGCGCATTGCGAGGGGGATGCAACGGGGAGACGAAGGGGGACGGGAGTGGACGAACGAGAACGGACGGGAGGAAGAGAGAGACAGAGAAAGAGAGAGACGGAGAGAGAGAGAGAGAGAGAGAGAGAACGCGGGTTGGCTGGGGGTGTAGACGCGATTGCGGGGTCGCGGGGATGGTTTCCGAGAGTCGCGTTCAACCATCCGGAAGCTATGAATATATTATTTGACGGGCAGTTTCGGTAGACTCCGATCGGATGGAGCATCGATCATGGCTGGCGCATCCCTTTGGGCCATTTTCATGCGTCAGAATGCGACACGCCTGCGATCGAGCGATTGCTGTGAAAATAAAAAAAAAAAAAAAAGATGTACAACCGCGCGCACAAATAACACACGGTCGCTAACCAGCGTGATATTTTTCTTTGAACGAGAAAATCCGGATGATACAATAAAAAAAAAAAAAAAAGAAAACATGAACGACGCGGTTCTGTTTTCGTTCCTTTGACTGATTGAAGGTTAACAGGATAGGAGTAGTAAGAAGAAGTGCGTATTCAAATAAAATAAAATATATACGACGCGACGAACAATTGAAGAGGGACGTATGCTTCTTTGTTCTTTTTTTTTTTTTTTNTTTTTTTTTTTTTTTAATTCTTTGCCATTCGAAATCAGCCAAAGAGATCGCAGATAACATGTCGATTAACTTTACGCAACTCGTAATTAGCAGAAGATTACGTACACGTGCACACGCGCCTCACGTCAAAGAGAGCACTTACATCTCTTCTCTAAATATAGTTTGAAACTGCAACTGTTAGTTAAACTTAAACAACCTTTACTTCGAGCAACGATAACCGGGGATTTTCGCAAAGGAGACAGACCGTTTCGCTCGCGGAGAAAGGACGGGAAGAGAAAATGAGGAGTTGAAATTACAACGGGAAATCCGTTCGACGGTACGTTCTACTTTCCGCGATACAAAGAGCGCAGATTCGAACGAAATATGACGTTCCTGCTTGGTGACGTTCAAATTTACTAAAAGACGACGGAAAAAATAAAACAAAAAAAGAACGCACTAATATACAATCTCATTACGTGAAAAAATCCTCTCGTACTTCTAAATAGAAAAAAACAGAGAAATTAATCTCCGAAAAGTTTACAAATAAATTATAATTAATTTCGAAAAAAACTTCGAGAGTTGTTTTTTTTTTTTTTTTTTTTTTTTTTTAAATACGTACTTCGATCCCGAGAGAGTATCGGTGAAAAATATGTTCGCGCGCGGATTAAAACGCATCCGTGGGCGGTAAACTGTTCGTCGTGGAATCGCGATGGGTGGTCTTTTCTTCGCAGTAATTGAGTAGAAAACTCAATCGCGATCTGACTTTCGCATGGCTAGTTTCGTTCATTGTTATTGATTCGATTTTCAAAAGATAGCCTCCGATAAAGAAAGGAGTATTTCCCGACCGATTCCTTTCTTCTTCAATCGCAGCTGTTGATGTCAAATCTATCTATCTATCTATCTCTCTTTCTCTCTGTCTTTCTCCCTCTCTCTCTCTCTCTCTCTCTCTCCCGTCGTTTCTATAGACTTTGTTTACACGATTCGATTCACGTGTCGGATCGTCAAGGTTTCACCGCCGCTAAATATCATCTGGAAGAAAATAAATTAAAACAGTACTCCGTTGTGTGTAAAAATAGCATCGCGCGTTTGTACACGCGCGTATATGAGAAGATGATCGCCGTGCGCGCGTAATACAAAATGCACCCCCGAAAAATTGGAGACCAGGGGGTCTGGAAACGCCGGAAGATGCAGCTCGACGTAACCTTTGACGTCGGGTCCGCGCGCGTTGCCTCTGTTATATATATAGTCGACGGGCCACGCTTTGAAGTCCGTGTATTTTAATGCAACGGCGAACTGTGCATATCGAGAGACTGCTGAATTAATCGCAGGCCACTCCGACGAAGAGGGAATGGGGTGGAAACCCGAGGGGGGAGGTGAGGGGGACACCGAGAGCCGGCCCCGCTTTTCTGGGGCACGTGCCCATGGGTATCGGTATTTCGGGGTGCGTTAATACCTCACTATCCAGACGGATAGAGAGAGAACAGAGCGAAACATCCACTCCTGCACATTGTTTGCGGCTTGGAATCAATAAAAGCATAGCTTTAGGCTACGGTGGTCGCCATGGCAACCGGAGACCCATCCGTGCACTATCCCACTCGCCCTCTCTCACTCTTTCACCCCCTTTCTCTCTCTCTCTCCTCTTTCTCTCTCTCTCTCTCTCTCTCTCTTCCTCTCGTCCTTTTCCACCTTCCTATTCCTCCCTACGCCACTCGGTATCTCCCTCAGTTCCTCGCAGTTTATCTCCGTCTCTCTTCGATCCTCAAACACGCACACCCTCTATTCTTCTCCCGCTTTCTCTTTATTTCTCTTTCTCTCTCTCTTTCTCTTTTGCCGTACCCGCGATCATCAGTTTTCTTTTTTTATCTTCTTCTGTGTTTCGTTTCTTATTTGTTTCTTCTTTTCTAGTTTTTCAAAAATTCTGGATTAGATCGGCTCGAATTTCTAGCCGCGCGATCGAATTGATCTCTCGCAACGAAACATCCCTAAAATCTCATTGCTCTATGACGCTGGTTACGACGAGGGTTCGGTTTGAAAATGGATCTCTCGCGAATAACTTTTTCAATGTTCGAGATATTTGTCTTTGCAACATACATATATCGTATTTAAAAAATCAGAAGAAACAATTGTCAATCAATGTACGTTCAAATATTTCAGATAATTAAGAAAATATTTGATTTCTACAAGCTTTATCAATAGAAAGACAAGATCGAAACAAGAAAAAAACGCCCCGTTTAGTTTTTTATCGGAAAAAATTTTGAAAGAAATCTAGTGAAGAAAAAAGCTGTGCGTGTGTTGCACAATATGACGTGTTTATTATTTTCTTTATAAAATATATATTTTTATACGCACCACCAAATTACAACAATATTAATGACAATATCGTCATTATTACCGCATAAATACGGAGACAAATATCGCGGGGTGTTTTAATATCCCAAAACTAGACTATTAAATGTTTGTCATATACCGTCACACAAATAATATTGCAATAATATATCACAAGTACAAAAGACCGATTTTCTGTGTATGAAATTAATTTTCAGTTTTCATCATGGCAAAATAAATGAGACGGAAATAACATAAGTGTTATTATAAAAAAAAAGTCATATCTTGTTTGCCGTATGATTTTACAGACAGTGACGTCTTTACACGTGTGTTTTTGTATCAATTACGCTTCAATAATAATTACGCTTCAATAAAATGCAACCATTTAATATCTTGTTTACACGCGATATTAAATTTATGTTTATTTTTATATAAGTAATATCAAACTGTTAAAAATACTTAACGGTATATATGTATACAAGTAGTTCAAGTAAGAGATAAAAGCTTGACACTTTGAAGCGCGCGTGCATTAAAGGCAATTTGTCAATTCAACCTAGTCGAACTCGAACACGAGAAATGCGTTTAAAAGTAAACCTTGCCTCAACTTGTTGTATCTTTTTTCGCTTAAAAAGAAATATAGAATGATTTTTATGCGTTTCAGGACAAGATAAAATATTGCATCAAATAATGTCAAAGTACAATCTTTTTTCAAGTTTAAATATCATAGAATTGTCATGAAATAAAACATTGTATATAATAAAATTTCGTTAAAGCGTGTACCTGTGCGTGCGAAATTAACAAATGAAAAAAGGTCTTCTTCCGAGTGTCGGAGCCGGATGGTATCGCAAAAAACCCTTGGCTTGTGAAACGAAGCGGCGTAACCCTTTGCGGTTTCGCCAAAAATCAGCGGAAGTGTTCCGATATCGAAACCGCGGCAAGTCAAAGTAATTCGCGCGCTTATACCGCGTGCGGCAAAGAAACGGGATAATCGAATTAGCCGACTTTTCGCAGGGATTTGGATGAAAACGAAACAAGAGAGCCCGCTCAAAGAGAGCCGCAACTCGGCGCGGAGCAACTCGCGCAACACGCAAACTCCGCGGAAAAACGTCGATACGCGCGTCTCCCGTCGCGCGCTCAAGTCGCCGAGCGAACCGTATCGAGAGCGGCCAACTTTCAAGAGATCGAGAAACGGATCGAGCAGTCGATTCCGTGGGCGGATCGATCGTCGGTCGAATCGAGACGTGCATACACAAGGTAAAGAAGTTGGAGATCGCGCGACGCGCTGTTCGCGAAATTTCGCAAAAAGGAGAACCGCTCGCGCTTTCTCGATTTGTAGGTTATGACACCTCGGCTAGGGGTGGATGATCCACCCCTCTTCGCTCTCGAGATCACCTCGTTTCGATATAATCATAATACAGCGAAGAGCGATCGCTTCGATATTGTTAACACGAGAAAAACGAAACTGTTTCGCAATCCCGTGAAAACAAACGTGGCAAACTTATTTGCATGTAATACGAATCTTAATTAACAAACATATTATTTGTTGATATTGACAGTATTATTGTTTACACATAAAGTGACTTGACAATTCTGGCGTACGTTTCCGACGTTTCGACAATTTTTTTGTTTTACGACGATTTTTAATAATTCTGTCAGCATCACTAAATATATTTGTATATTTGTATTCATATAACAAATATATTATAGAAACACATGTGTGTTTACACATACAATATGATTATAATCACGAATAATATTACAGATGATACTAATTACTTTCCATAGATTATTATTATTATATTATTTTCTTGAAATATAAATTAAATCTTAAATGAGATATATTTTCTGCTTTTCTTTTTCTAATTATTTTATTTGGATACAATATATTTTTACCATAATTAATAAATTTATATAAAAAATTATATTTAAAAATATTTAGGTAGGATCTTTCCGAGTACAAAGAAATATTTGGCGCAGAAAAGATTATTATCATCTGTTCATTATTCCCTGATGTGCAATTGAACGGAAAACAGAAAGAGAAAGAAAAAACATACCTTGTTCGCTCGCGCGAGATTTCGTTTGTTATCTCTCTCTTTGGTGACACGTTTGTATTTCTATAGTCAACTCATTAGTGTCAAATCCGTAAAGCTGCACCCTACACATGCACCGGGGAGGATTCTTCCCGGTCCCGACGATATGAAGGAGAACGTCGAGTGGGCGCAGGTCCCCTGTAAGGCGACACAGGTACATATGGACTCGCCCGTTATGAATGGACCAAATGATATAAATTATTTATAGATTTCGACACCGGAGAGCGAGACAGAGACGAGAGAGCGCTCCGGCGGGTGGTTGTTCGCGAATTGGGGTGCGGCGGAAACCCCAGGGGGTCCGCTCTCGCGCGCATCGACAACTCCTCGGGGACTCCCCTTCAGCATATGCATTCTCGCTCCGAGAGACCACCGTAAGCCTGTATAAAATTGATTCCTAAGTACCCCGTATTCGTGTCGGCCTCATGTGTCTCTTAACACCTACGCTGTGAGTATTTGCTTTCCGCGTTCTTGTAAATATACGCGATATAATACGCGGCGTAAGAACAGCTACGAGTATCGCGACTAATTGATTCTCGATCGCTTTGTGCGTTCAAGTGAATGTGCAATTACACTAAGTCGTAAGATCAGTTTTGATAGGTTTTTTTTTTTAATTGATAGATGTTTTTTATACAATAAAACTCATCGAAAAAACTTTCACGCTTGTTCGATATTATTCGCGTGAGATGCGTAAACGAGGAAATGACAAAAAGCGGCTTTTTGAGTAATTATTATTTTATTATTTTTCCCCGCGTGCGTGCGTTGAGGTCCGTCTATGAGTTAAACCAATTAAATATGTATTATGTTATAACCAAATGTACTTTACAAATTTATTCGGCCAATCGTCCAATGCGATTTTTAGCGATTCATGCAGACAACGTGAGACTTGAAACAAAATTGCAAACGCGAGTACATCGACCGAGATCGCATCGAGCACTTTTTGAGTTTCCGAGTGTGGTCTTGTAACAAATCGGAACCACGCGGGTCCGGCGCGATCGCGCAGCACACCCCCCGGGGTTCAATCTAAATCAATGGGCTTGTGGGTAATCGCATAATAATTACCGGGACCCCCTCTACCGCCCATCTGTCGCTGACCGACGGGGTGTTTCGACCCTCAGAAGAAGCAGTAGGTACTCTATACCACGGCGACACACCCGATGAACATATCCCAGCAGGTCCTATTGTCGACGGCCACCGTACGGAATGTCTCTCCCTCGGCACAATCACATCTCTTTCTTTCTCTTCGCGCTCTCTGCATTCGATCGCGCAAATCGCTGCGAAATAAATGCAATTTTACAAAGTGATATCTTGCTCAAATGTTTTGAGTTTGCGTATTAAACCGATCGTTTTTGCGAATAAAAGACGGAGGAATATACTAGCCGTCGGGACGTGAATTTGTTTTCCAGATAGCAGAATGAAAACGACATTTGTAATTAGTTTATGGCTCGGCCTAACGACTGGTCATTTTCGCGGGCCGCATCATCCCAGGGGCAGCGTGTCCCATCATCATTACACACCGCAGAAGGAAATCAAGCTGACGGAGGATTCCGAGCTTCTTCACGACGCCACGTGAGTCGAGAAGACAGTGCGAATAAAAATTTAATAATTCATAAGTTTTAAACTTGTGTATTAGCGGTACATATAATAACTATTTACGTTAAATTATTTTATAGAGAAATAACCTGCGTTGAGACTTTTGCGCATTATTATATTTAAATTTTGTAACAATAATATTTGTGTGTTATTCCCTTTCTAATATTTACATACATAGAATCTTTATCCGAAAATTTTAGACACTTGAAAGAAGACTTGGGATCTATGGCCGACACAATTGATTTTTCCAAGATGACCGACGACGAAATAGAATTTCATTATTTCAAGTACGTTAGAAATATTGAAGTTTTGCGTTATATATATATATATATATATATCCTCCTCGTCAGTAAATTATCATCTATATAGTTGCTAACGCATATATTGTCAAATTTCTAGACTTCATGATTTCGACAATAATACGAAGCTAGACGGATTAGAGTTTCTACATGCACTTCAACACACCTTCCACGGGGAACAATTAGACGAAACTGACAACGAGGATGCAATATCGGAGGAGGATTTTTCTTGGATCGTTGGTACGTTTGACTGAAACTAAGAGATATGCGACAACACACACACACATACACACACGACTATGTATATATATATGTAGTACAAAAATACATGTGTATTATATCGAGATATTGTTTTTTTCAAGTACAATATGAAATATTTAATTGCTTGTATCAATTCGCAGAATTGATAGACCAAGTACTGGAGGAAGATGATTTAAATAATGACGGGTACTTAGAGTACGTTGAATACGTGCTGGGAAGAAAGAGAGATCACGCCGCGCAAGAGAAACGCAAGAAACTCAGAATTGGAACGTGAGATTTTCCGTCCACGTCCCAAATTATATAAAAAAATATGTGACAAATTACATAAATTATATAAATTCTCACAAAAGAGTAAAAACAAACTTCTTAAGTTATGAGAAATGAGAATAAAATATATAAATTGCATTGACACACCGCGTGTTGTTCGTGACATACATTTACTTATATGATTCCCGAATGATATTTGTATTAATAACTCTTGATATTACTATTCACTTTTTTCACAGAAAGGGAGAAGCTGAAAAAACAAAACTAGAAAATGAAGTGTGATCCGGGTAATATATAGATTTTTTTTTTTTTAAAGTTTATTTAGAGATTTCATTAAATCTATACCACCCATAATAAATCTTACGTGACTAAGGTTTTTTCATGGTCTAAAAAAATCTATACACTATTAATCTCGAAAGGCTAATAGTTAAGAGAATAACCCGTACGTTGAGAGAATTGCGTATTTTTAATTGTGGCCGCGCGTGTGAACATAAGGTATGTGGAGTCACTTTGCTTCATTAAAGATACGCACATAAATGTTCAAGAGACAATGCCGGTCACAGTGGGTATTACTCGATGCGGGTGGAAATATATATATACATGTATATATATATACATATATATATATATATATATATATATACGTATATATATAGTAATGGTACGTAAATAATTTATATATACAATGAGAGCATGACTCGTGAAAGTCCCAATAAAGAGCGTAAATTGTACACAGCTAAAACACGTTGCGAGACATTACATATATATACTCTACTATTTCACACATATATGTATATATATATATGCGTATATTTAAATATATACATATATGCTTTACAAATACGATTTTTATTATACAAAAACTTTTTGAGCAATCTTGCCGTACATGTATTGTCACGCAAGATTACGATATTTTTACATCCTCTCTTCAATGTGCATCAATAAATCGGCATCTGAATTCAATTACTTTTGATTACAATTGTATATATGCATAATAATAATGTTGAATTACATTTAAGACAAGAAGTATTGTTTTTTTTTTTTTCGGCGGAATTAACGTCGTAACATCTCTCTACGTCATTTTCTTTCCGAGATAATTTACAAGTTTTTCTATTTATTTATAATTTTTCTAAGTTACATCCCCGCATTGTTCTGCAACATTAGGCTGCGCACGGCTTTCTCTTCCTTTCTTTCTTTCTTTTTTTCTATTCTTCATTTATACGGATTTTAATTTTATGATACACGCGGAATGATCGGCTGAAAGATGTCGATTAAAATTCTCACGTTAACGATTCACTGGCTTGTTCTAGATCGAAACTGGTGTCTACAGTCTGTAAATAGAAAGAAATAGAATTTAATTGTCGGGGTTTGCAACTTTGGACTTTTTCAACGCCGACCGAGCCTGGTGCCCAAGGTGTCGGAAACGCGTGTTGCTCTTGCGCGTAATTGTGTACTGTTTTTTTTTTTTTTTTCATCATAATAGCACTTGTATATTGCGTGGTGACAGATCGACGAGTTGAAATTGAAGCTGTGCTCGAGAACTGTTTCACACTCATCGGCTGATCGTTGTCTCTTTCGAACTTCTCTCGTCGAGTCACGTTCGTCTCTCGCAGTTTTGCAGAAATTTTTATTATCAAGACTGAACTCGGTAAACTATCAATATTTATTGTCGATATTCGATGTTGAAAATCATCGATTGCTCGCGCTCCCGACTCCTCGGGACATCAGCCACGATTTTCAACAAGACAAACACACATAAGAATGGCACGTACACATAGAGATTTTAAAACAAAAACGCTTTATATATATATATATATATAAAACTCGTCTCGTACGTTAAAATATAGTTACAGCTTTTTAATCTTGACCTGTAATTGTTTTCTTTCGCGAAAAAAACACGATAGTTCAATGAAACACAAGACAGATTTTAAGAGACACGTGAACTGTGTGCATGTGTGTGTATTAACACGTGAAGAAACATATCGACAAGAGATATTGATTTTTTTTTGTTTATTGTGTCGCGTGTTATACAAAATATGGACTTGATGTGATTTTTTTCTTTTTCTCGAAATTCTCTACACGAAGTCTTAAAATTCTGTTTTGTTCGATTTGCTTCGAATAGTGATTCAAGCTATATATAATATGTATGTTCACGAAATGTTATATATCCCATTTGAAGCGAATCCCTTGCGTAATTTCTCTTGCATCAATTTCTTACTTCAGAATAAATGTTATATTATTATCGTATAAATATTCCTTTAATTACAGAGAGAGAATTCGCGCTATAATTACAGAGACAGGCTACTACAAGCTATACACTATGTATTGTAACTTGATTAACACACACTCGGGTCAAACTTCTATTCTTTATCTATTCTCTTTCTCGTTTCAATAATATAATTATAATAATAATAATAATAATATATAATCGTATGACATTGTTATAGTCTACAAAAATTTCAGGGACCAAACTTAAGCGTATTTTAGGTAAACTTAATTAATTAACAAAAGCTAAAATTATTTTAACGATTATTCTCGGCGGCAAAAAATTCGACGTCTCGAAAAAAGAGTTACAAAAATGCGGTTGCTTGTACAAAAAAAAAAAAAAAAAAAAAACTTGCGTGTACGAATGAATCGCTCTTATGAAATAAAAATCTCTTTGCACATGAAGCAAATACACTATTAACGATAATATTATTATAATTAAGAATTGTATATATATGTGTGTATATATAAACATTGTGGATTTCATTTAAGTAACATATTACTTTCATTAGACGTAAGAACAGACAGAGCGAGACGTAAAGCTAAATTCGGACAAATGTATACAATTCATTTAGAAAATGTGAAGCATAAAACAAGATTTCACAGACAAAATACCGGAAGTTTTGTACAACGTAATTTTACAACGACGTATAAAGACGTACTGTGTGTACAAATTACAAGTGAGAATTACAGTGGTGTTCTTTCTTTCCGTCGGGAACTTTGTAAGATATCGAGCAATGTAAATGAAGGAGTTTTTTTGTCTTACTTATGTTCTAATTTGTGCAATAATTTAAATACTTAAGAAGAAAATGATTTAGAATTGGACTCCAAACTGTGTACCTCTTGTGATACAAAATTACATAAATTTTAATTTTTCTATTCGTATATCGATTTTATTTTTTTTTTTTTTTGCTTACAAAATTTACATTAGAATCTCTTTAAATATTGTTCGAAAGAAATGACCACACACGCGGCGCTTTTTCTCGAAAGAAAATTATTGTCCAAAACGACTAACAGTGTGTTCGAACGAACAACAATTACTTCCAATAATTATTATCCAGTTTTTTCATTCGCATTGCTCAATAACAAGCACTTCGTAAAGTGTAACCACTTGCTACGATATACGTACAATTAGATACACGACATATAGACTGTTTTTTCATACGTGTTTACACTTGTTTATAACATGTCACTGTAATTTTTTTTTTCTTTTTAATATTTAACGTACAATGATATACATCTATTGTGCCTGGCTTGTGATCAAGACCTCATAAAACTATAATAATAATAAGATTCACAGTACCACGATCATGTAGAACACACATTCAATTATGGGATTTTTAATGTTCGCTTAAAACTTACTCTTAATGTTTGCTTAAAACTTACTTGACCGACAAAAAATTCATAAATATATATATTATCTCGTACACAATATATATGCATTTATATGTATATATATATATATATATAGATATTTTATTTATGCATTCCCCTCCGTATTCCCTAATATTATTATTTTATTCATCGTGTTACTTCATTATCAGTTTTTTTTTTTTTTTTTTTACTTTCAGCGCGCGAAAGAATTCGCCAAGAATCCGCCGACTTTCTAATGGGCCACTATTCTCTTTAACAAGTAAATATTTACCCGCCTATACTTTAATCATCTTCTTATGATCCCTTAATCAATTAATTATTAGTGATCTTTTTTTTTGATACTTATCTACACAAACTTCACCACCTCCCTACGCTTTTCTCTACGCTCAAGCTCTTCTCTCGAGATTGCTGATTTTCTCTCGCTCCTTTTAGAATTTCGAAAGCGGTTATTCGTGCATTGTTGCATCATTTGTAGACGATAAATACGCGCGGACGAAGCGTCAGGCACTTGTAGATACGGAAAAAGTTTACACGGGGGAATTTTTCTCTAAAACGGTGGGATTCTTACTGCTTCGAGGCTTCTTAAGATACACAAATTTTCGTGTTTCCGCGAACTACGAGAGAGTCGTAATTACAGCCATCGGTAAGATTTAAAATAGCCAGTTTAACACAGAGGAAGCGATCTGGTTCTTTTTCCCTCCCCTTCCTCCCCCCCCCCCATCTTTTTCAACACTTTTAAGAATTTGAGAAAATTTACACATATTATCAGCCTTTTTTTTAATTACCTTTCCGATGAGCTGATAAAATTGAAAATTTTAATTTGACTTTTCATTTTCTAATATATATATGTACAAAACTTTCTTTTTACTTTTTTTTTTTTTTGTTAAATTTGACTAAATCTTCTCACAGATTCTTAGAAGTTCAAAGATTTGAATCCTCCGTGTCTGATTTCCCGTTTCTTTTCGCACTCTTTCGGAAACTTCTGTTATTTTTAATCAAACAAATGTTTATTTTAGCGGTCTCATAAATGATAAATCGCTCTTGTCGCGAGTGAATATAATGGGTCACGTTTCCAACTTTTGTTTCCGACTCGTAGAAGAGCGTAAAATTCTCATTATGATCAGTCACATTCTCAGTTCTATATACTTAACACGGAGAATAGAATGTTAATCCACGACATCGGTTCTCGTCTCGCTTAACATTCTCGCTTGTGAAGATATATTTTTCAATATGTATTTACACATAATTCTATTTACATTGTCAATATATCATTTCTTTATGTTTCTCTTATCGATATACATATGTATATATATATATATGTACATATATACGACAATTTGGAGAATTTTCTTAATTTATTTAACTATGCCGGCAAGCACATTACGGCAGTTGGCTCGTTTGTGTGTTTTAAAAATAAATTACAATTTGCGGGCGTGATGAATTTATTGCTTTGTCTATGAAGGCGCACAAACGCAGAAGTTCTATTGTAAAATAGAATTTACTTCTTCTAGAATGTAACCGTTTGCAAAAAAAACAAAATATACTTCTGTGTGAAACCATTCGTACGCGTAAACGCGTAAAAAAATATTTACATGATGTATAAATCTCAGAAATAAATACAATAAACACAAGATTAACACACGCGTGAAAGATAACGCGACAAAAACTGTACCTTACAAGATTTAAATAGATAAACAAACATATAAATCCTGTCTAATGAAGAATGGACACGGCAGTTTTTTTTTTTTTTTTTTTATAACATTTGTACATTTTATTCAAGTACACAATAAAAAAACGAATCTTTTAATAGATAGCTGCCGCTGTGAGAGACTACAACATTCAAAGCAGAATTTGTTGTTTCTTTTTTTGTTTTTTATAAATCAATACAACGTGGTGTGTGGACCGAGTCGTGGATTAACACGCGATTGATATGGTTGCAATGGAAACCGTCGAATATTCACATTTCGATTCCAACGAAAGAATTTTAATGCCCCATTATTGTCTTTTCGACAGAGCGATGAGATCTATCACTTATTTTTGTTTTTTTGGTTTTTGTTTTGTTTTGTTTTTTTTTTTTTTTTTTTTTATCTCTTTTTTCGCATACACATTCTCGCTTAAAAGACATGACATTATTACCTAAGCTACCGTACCACAGTAGATCGACTTACGTAATTAAATGTTAACGATCGTCTCTGTTTCTTAAATGTTAATTGAACGTTAAGTTAGAGGGGCAGAGGGGTACATTATCGGGAAGGATATATATGAAGATGAGGAAGAAAAAGAAGAAACAGAAACAGAAAAAAAAGTAGCCACGGGCTCGAGAGATTGAACATTCGGTTAGAGATAAAGTTTACCCATCTTGATCTACCGGTGGTTTTTTGCTCTGCTCTTTTTTTTTTTTTTTTTTTTGTCATTTCGCGTATTATTAAACCTAATTCATTTTTTTTCATCAACAACAAAACGAGTTGACTTAGCCTATGTAAAGCGTTACTTTTATACGACGTTATTAAATTACTACATTTCCGATCGTCTATACCTCATTATCTCATCCAGACTCTCACCGCGCTCATTTCTCTTCTCATTGGCAGGCTTTTCGTCTTAAAATATTTCATTGGTATAGCACACTTTACGCGCGTCATCCATACTCGTGAGTGTGCTCGTTCCTTAGGAATTAGAGACGAAATCGGAATTTTTATACAACAGACTGTACCCGTAACGCTGGTGTCGAACATTTAATTCACGATAATTATTGACGGCTCATCCGTTGGATGCTGGCACTCTTAAAGCTGACACTTTGAAACCTTATGCATTTAGCATATTTTAATATAACAGATACTTCGTCTTAAGTAAAACTTAGGGGATGTATTATAGTTGCGCTTACATACTTTACAACACCTTCGAGGAGGCTAAAATTCGAATCTTTAAAAGTCTCAGTACCTTCTACTTTCGACGCGTGCGAACGAAATTTCGTGGAAAAAAAAAAACCACACGCTTTTCGAGAAAACTCTTTTCTTGCGAATTCGTTCCTAGCGAATCGCGCGCAAAATCGCGGCGAAGTGAAATCGAAACGAATTCGCAAACTTTCATCTCTGCGAATTAACATCGAAAAGTTACGAAACTTGTCTATTGCGAAGGTTTTTTATTGCGTGATATGTATAACCGTGACTTGTTCGCGCGTGTACATCGCGAAAACCCATTTGAATTGTTTCCGTCTCGCGCTTCTGAAGAAAACTCAACGTCGAAAGTAGATGCACTTGTTCTTTCGAGATACACATTGTAAATCTCAGGTAAGGCTTTTGAACAGCCTATTATATATAGCTGTAGCCTCGCAATGTACAGTTGTATAGCAATTTATTGAGTTGTGTCTATAGTTGTATCAATGTACAGTTGTAGACTTGTTATCTAGATCTACAACTTTTTGTTATTTCTGATTTCACTTTTATGTATGCCTTAATTATTTTATCTTTTTATGGTTTTATCTTTTTTACGATTTCACCTTTTTATGTATGCCGTTGTTGCATTTAATAAAGTTATTATTATTATTATTATTATTATTACTATTATTACTATTATATAACGTAGCTGTTTTAAGAAGTAATGTGATACGTAGATACGATAATTACACTATATAAACTTGTGATGTGCGCATGTTTATGTAATATATATAATATATATATGCAGATATATAAATATAAATCATGTGTCCCTTATGCATATGTAACTTTGACCTTCACAGTAATGAAGCTAATTCACTTTTTTCTTTTCATTTTTTTTTCCCCCCTACATTTCACTTAAACATGCATATACGCACGCACCATATACATACACACACGCACGCACGCACGCACGCACGCACGCAGAAACATAATAATTTCTTCGTTCTTCGCGTATCACCGACAGTCATAAGACGCTTTAAAGAGCCCTACAATTATTATCATTATTATTATTATTATTATTATTTATATTATTTTTTATTATCATCATTATTCAATGCTCACATTTGGTACCCGTGCGCGTCTTCAACAACGAGAATAATATATCTTAAATGTTTTCCTTTGTTCTTCTTATTCTTAATAATTCCTGGTGGTGCGTTACCCTCAGTCACGTCAACATAAAACTACTATTATCCCCGGCTATGTGCTTACGATGCCTGTCTATGATTTCGAGACAGAGATTTATAGATAATGAAAAATCATCGTAGCTATCATCGACGCGACCGACCCGGCGCGAATGTTTCTTTTTTTTTTTTTTTTTTTTTTGTTCTTTTTTTTTTATTTTTGATCGCGCCGATGATAAAATAAAGTTAATTATTTTATACTTAATATCCCGACAAGATGTACTTAACGATGTACTTAACTATATATATAACGCTACTTCTAGCGATTGGATCGAGAGTATATACTTAACGTTAATTTTTCGTGTTTGCTTCTTAATTATAAGTAAAATAAATATTACTGATCGGTTAAGGTCCAGCTGTGCCACTTTTTTTTTATGTTCTTCGATATTGTTATATCTCTCGTAAAATCTAATATAGCAGATACATGATTAGAATCATTAATGCAGGTTGCGTTCTCGTATCATTGGTGATTTGACGAAGAAATTTTTCGCAAAATATTCAATATCTGAGAGACGTAAACTGTCATCATTGTTAATACTGACTTGCAATCGGATACAACTGCGATCGACTTGCAATAGAAACGATTGATTGCAATGAGAAAGCAAGAGTTTTTATGAGTGCTCGCATAATTAAAAACCAAAAAATAAATAAATTTAAAAACACCTTTACATATATTAATGATTCTAACTATATAACATTAATGGGTCACAATTAATAATAGTATTGTGTGCGAGACTCGATAACATAGATTTATCTTATATAAGATAACTCTCTATGTACATGTCCTATATAATATTTCCTATATAATATTTAATTTTCCTATTTTCATGCTGGATTGTACAGTGACTTACAAGGCTCGCTTCTTGTATTATTGTTCCAGAAGATTACTGAAATAGATTTGCACATACACACACACACACATTCTCTCTTTCACCTACACAAAAACACACAAGATTAGAGTAAAAATACGGAATTTCCCTCAGATTTGGCATTATTAGCAGCAAAACAATTTCTTATACCTAATTAATAGTTACAGCTTATTATGATAATAACCCTCTCTTTTTCTCTTACGATATTCTTATAGCTAATCAGGGCTGTCAGTACGTTACTTAGTACGTAATTGATGTTACAAGTGTTTTCGAAGTTAGATGATTTTATGCATTTCATGTGAAATTTTGTCCGATGTTTTTTTTTTCTTTGCACTATTTTACAAGGCCTTGTTATCAGCCAGTGACTAATGCCACGTTAACGTACATTAGAAGTCGTCAAGAGTCATTTATCTGTAATAGACGTAATATATCTCGGCTTATCTCGGACACCAGACACGGATATCCGGTTTACTTTCATACACGAAAACGCCCCGTATCGTTATGCCAATAATAATGAATAAAGCTTGCATTTCTAATTTGTGTGATCTTGCATACTTGATTCTTAAGCTAAAGATTACTAAATGTGCAACGTGCGAACATATAACATATATCAAAGTAAGGCGAGATGAAGTTTCTAATGTTTTAGTAACATTAAAGTAACAATAGTTAATCAATTAAATCGATAATAAAAGGTCTCGTTCGTGAAAAACAATGATAAGTTTACTTAGTTCCATCTTATCATTGTTAATCAATTACATTATGCTATGTTTTTATCTGAAATGTTGGTGTCTATTTGAGAGCAACTTTCAAGAGTGAAGAAGATAGTAACTCTCTTCACATACTACTCTACATCCATAATATGTATAGCATACATATACATACTATATATGTATATATATGTATATTTATATATATAATTATGGACAATTATGACAATTGAGAGTGACTTTCCACTGTATTCTCTCAAATGAACACCGGTTCATTAAATTGTGACGAAAGTCACATAAATATTATCGTGCAAACTCTATACAACATTCCTTGCGGCTACTTTTCCTATGTTCAACTATTTTCCAAACAGTTTTTTTTTTACATATCAGCGAAGATTAATTCGGCTTTTTCTTCGCTAGTTTGAAACTAAGTCCACATTGTTAAATTTGTTGTAAATTTATCTTTATATAGAGTTTATGCGCGCGCACACACACACACACACACACACACATTCAATTTATTCTTATTTGCTATTCGATGCTATATCTCATTTTTGCTCCATTCCATTCTTATGTCATCGTTATTTCCCCTCAATTGTCTATGTTGCTCGATTAAACCGCACAAACGAATTGTTATCAGTATTGTTGTGAGTTGCCGCCCGTGAACTCTGTATTGTACCGAAATGCTCACTCCAATAATAATAGAAAAAAGACAACATAGTAGAAATCGACCAAAGACAGGAAAAAGTATCATTCCTGTATTTATCTAACATTAAGAGATATGAAAAATCAATAAGACTTCACTAGGGAGAGAAAGAAATTAATATATAAGCAACTTATGTTTAATTTACCCTTTTAAACTTGAAGCAAACATTTGGTAACTCCACTGGAGTCCATAATTGCTATCGATATTGTTTTGTTAGTTAGCAATACCACCAGTGTACTGTTTCTATCAGTTTTTAAAACTGTGTACGTTGGACTTAGTCCAAAAAAAACAAATTTAGACTTCTTAAAACTTAAATCTACATCGATACGACTATGTCGTATGATTTTACGAATGCGACATAATTCGAAAGAGCACGCAGATCGTTTGTCATCTTGTGTCAATTTTTTTGCAGCTTGATTAGAGATCCAAAAAGTAGAATGGAGTTCTCGCTTTCATGTAAAAATGAAAATTACTATATTACATATAACAAGACAACAGCCTCAGCAAACGGCGATATATATATATATAATATATATATATATAAATTATAACTTGAATGATTTTGGCTCCACTTTCTTATATTTGTTTTTTTTTTTTTTTTTTTCCACCCAAACGCTAGGAAAAATGGTTTTCTTTCCTTCGGAAAATAAGCGTACTAAATATCGCTGAATTTGCCGCTTAGAACGTACTTTATGAAGATCAATTTTATTCTACTTTTAATTCTTGTTTTAGTCCAAAAGTTATACTATTATTATCTTCTAATAGTAAAACTTGAATGAGATACTTGCATTTTTCTTTTTGTTTGTGTGAGAAACGTTGCAATCTCTTTTCCGCTCCATTTTTTATACTCAGGCTCTTACCAAAAAGAAAGAAAGAATATTTGGTTGATCTATTCGCTTGATTCGAACCTTAACAAATGTTCCTGATTAGGGCAATGTTTTTCGGTTTAATCTACGAATATGTTAACTAAAAAGCACCGCTCATAAAAAAAAACTTACTCTATACAAAGAAAATCGTTCAAAAAATTTCTTGTTCCTTCTGTACAAACGTGTACACACATTAAAAAGCTGTCGTATAGATCTAAAAAAAAAAGAGAAAAAAAAAGAGACATAAAGAGTAAACAGTAAAATTTGCAGGCTGTAGAAGTTAACTACTCTCTTTGTTAAGTAGTCCGAAAATTCCTCTGGCGCGACACACAACTGCCATCATAATAATCTTGAATCGGCCGGTGTAACCTCTTCCACGCTCGTCGTTCTCGTTGTGGTTTGCAGCTTCCGTTGTCTTTGTGTAAAGAAGACGAAGACAGCAAGCTGGAAATGGATTCTTCTACGGATTCATGAGTCTGCGTAAAGCGAACAATTACGCAAAGTACATAACTCGTTTTGTGTCGGCATGAACCGTGATCGCCCGTGCCATCGCGCCCGGCGTCCTGTCTTCGCTACAGCCCGATTGATGAGATCCTTCACCACTAAGGAATCGAAACGGCAGATTAGAAACCATGTGTTTCTGCGGTACACGCAAAGGGGTCCATACGAAACACACTAATGGCCGCTTCTTTCAGATTCAACGAAGTACATAAAACAAAAAAAAAACAAAAAAAAAAAAAAACAACTGTGCGTGTTAATGTCACATCCCACCTATCGTGTTCCTTTTCGACCAAGTGATATCTGGCTCGGAATGCTACGAGATGAGCGTAATACGCCGGCGCTGGTATACTGACAGATCTCGTACACCTCACGTAAGTGTGGCACAGCTGATACGTGAGACACTGCAATTCATCGCTCTCGAAGTGATTGTCGTCCCAAAGAACGTGATAATGCGACGGTCTCGACGTGCCCTGTATCGACGGAAATGATATAAACGATATAAAAAATTCACTTCGACACTCGCGACCAATCGATCGTTTTCTCGCAATTTTACCTGAATGCCCTGATGACTGCACAAGTAAAAATCGAATTCTGTCGGATGAGTAATGCATACATCGACGGTCGTGCCCGCCGGAATATTTCCGCTCTTGCCGCTCTGTTCCTTCTTGTCGGCGCAGAACAGACGCGTGTGATGTCTCTTCTGCACAACGATGAATGTTATTCCGGGCCTGTAATCAATCTCTAGCTTGAGACAGGCCTCGCGAATGGCAGTTAGCTCGTGTTGCAGAACAGTAAGAAATTGGCCTTCGGAGACACCGTCACGATACAGAATTATTCTATGGGGCTTGTATCCGCCGGTACTCTTGTAAAACATTATAAGTAACTCCCTGAAAACAAACAAAAAGAATATTCGTCAAGTGACACTTTTTATATATATACTTCTTAAACAGGTGCAACAAACGTTTCGTTTTGTAAGTCACACATTAAATCACTCACCTAACCATTGAACTAAGTTCCTGAATAATCTCTTGTCTATGTTGTTGAACCCTAACTGTCGCCGCGTATCGAGACGGATGGGCATCCATGCTGCCCACTACCGCGGCGATGCTAGGTTTCTTGTTGTCACCCGCTGGCGGATGAGTCACATCCGCTCCAAGAAATATGACTGGTTCGTTAAATACTTTCGGTCTTATACTAGGTACTAGAATGCTATTGATGCCTCCTAATTTGACGTTTATCTTGAGACAGAGATTAGACAACGTCTGTGGCGATGTCTTGTTGACGTTCTTCGCTTGAACGCACTGAGTCGCCATCCCTAATAGCGTATCTCCCACTCTTTTCACTTCAGCTAAAACAGACAAGTTAAACGTCAGAATTATCTCAAACATTTTTCGTTACACGCAACATGAAACATCAAGATAATCACCGTATACAGGAGTTTTTCCCGGTAGCACAACACAAACTAGCTGCAATTGCGAGAAGGTTGATTTCAAGTATCTGAACATAGGTTCTACTTGGTCCGGTCCAGTAGCGTATTTACAAAAGCACGGCTGCCCAATGATGGGCATGCCGGCGTCGTTACTAATTTTCTGTAGTTGCGTCGTAAACGAGCGCAACGCGTCCTCGCGCACTGTTCTCTGGGGCGCGAAGCAAGCAATTGCCCATACTCTAATTTCTACTCCGGTAAAGAACTGCTTGCCGCGCATATCCCATACTCCCTGATTCGGCATCGCTTGCTGCTTCGTCTTTGAAAGGAGATATACATTATTGGATGTTTGTAAATCAATTGTTTCAGTAATACGTAATCATCGCAGCGAACGCATCAGTATTTTTTCACGCGCAAACATCTTTATTATATCTTTCTCTTTTGTTTTCTTCTAAACAGTTTGTCTTTTTTGTTTATTAAATAACTTTAATAAACCCAGTCTGTAAATCTAATAAGACTGCAAAGTATATAATCAAAACCGTAACGTGTTACTATGCTGCATGGAACAAATACTGATGATATCGGACTTTCGCAAGTGATATCGGACTGCAAATGTAACATCAAGTTACATTTGTAAACCGTAGACTTTGTCTCTAGGATTTTCTACTACTATTTAGGAAAAGCTGTACTTTTTGGGAAAAAAAGCCGTACTCTGATATCAAAGTCGTAATTTAACACGATGCAATTTCAATATGTACACGTTACACTAACAGCCCAGATATCAAATCAACCAGGTCTAGAAACCATGCATTCATTTGACAACTTTTGGCCACAATGTATATAGAAAGAGTATATACATCAAAAATCTTACATAATTATACATTACTAGACGTAATAAAAATTAATTCATCGTGAGTGAAAAATTAAATTACGAAATATCATAATATGGTTTTTTAATAAAAAATATACACAAGGCACAAAATAAAGATCGAATATGCAAAAATCAGTAGTAATCACTAGCAATACGGTCTTATATATCTTTTACAGCAGTTTTACTTTACCTATTGTGTAAAAAGGAGAATATAATAAACAATATTACAAACGTTCGGCGCTACAAAAAAAAACGTATATTTGCTAAGGAACAAATCATCAGTCTCCGCAAATGTGTGATTCGGCTAGACCTGACTGATTTAGTTGGAAGTTTCTCACCTGTCCACTGAGGGAACTTACGCGCCCACCGTACTGCAGCTTGGGCGGAGGTAAGACACGACCCCTGACTTCCATCATACTATTCGATATAGTCAATCCAAATTCTTGCACGTAGGAGTCATTGTTAAAGTCCGCTCTTCTAACTAGATTGTTAATCTCCCGTTCGCGATCCGGTGCGGAACGCGCTGTCGCTTTGATCATAGTCGAGGTCTGCATGTCGGTCAATTTCTTAATGCAACGTTGTCCGGCAACAATGTTGCAAACCTGATGTGAAACAATTGTTTTAAATATTAACGAACATTATAAAAAAATAAGATAAAATTTCGCGCACGAACCTCGAGCGGCAAATACGTGTGTTTGTGTTCTTGGCCAACTTGCAAGCAGGGAAGATGCGGGTGGCGCAACTTCATTTTGTACTTATCCAAGAAGTATTTGGCAACTGTGCACTCCACTGTTTGTCCATTTTCCAGTTGCAATGGAAAACTGTAATTAATATTAGTAACAATGTTGTTTTACATATAAATTTATTTTCTTTTTTTTTTTTTTTTTTTTTCATTTCCTGTTGAACTGTATACTTACGATTGCATTTGAGCTGGTTTGCGTGTAACATTGCACACTCGGTATTTTCGTTTCATGGCTCCACAGTGAGTTATTTCGATTTTGAGACCCTTGATTTCTTTGGTAAATTTTACTCTTTGAGAGTCTGTAAGTGGCTTTCTCTGATCATTGATATCTCTAATGTCCAGAACTTCGCACATAAACTCTATAACCGGCTGTGCTTTATAAAAGGCAGTAGCAGAGACTGAAATACAGGGGCAGAGAGATGAATACACGAATCCCAAGTCGCAGTTGGATATATTTTTCCTTCTTCTCACCATCAATGTTTAACATCATTTTCCACTGCGACGGTCTCACCGATTGATGAAATCCAAACCAGACCTCTCTGCCTCCGCCCAATGGATGATAATATCCTTCCGGCGTACTAAAGAACGATCTACCTACTGGAGTGTATGTCATAGAGGGTAAATGCCTCATTACAACGTCTAAAGCGAGAACTGCATCATATGGAATTTGTCTAGTTCGTCCTTCCAGAGCTTCTTCCAGAGCGAATAGAGATACCTGCGCTAGCCATTTTATGACGACTCTAAAAACTCTGTCTTTGCCCTCACCAGGTAGTGTAACCTACAATAACAAAATCATAACAGTAGAGATAAAATCATAAATTTTCGAAATTGACAGAGATAAATAAAAAATTTATCACTATTCCCTCTCTAGATTTTATGTCTTTGATAATAGATTTACATTACCTCTAATTCTACTTTATCATGCCCAATAGGCAAAGGGTCCCTTGTGTACAAATTATTTCTGCCATCAAACACAGGCTTACGAGATTGAAATATCTTAGTATATGCATGAACCATTGTTTCTACAATTTCCCTATTAACTTTTCGAGGACACTTATCCGGCTGTATGCTAATGTCGTAATGGTGTACATAGCCGCGTGGCATACTAATTTGAAAGTGATTGGCTCTCAGACCGATCGGTCTACCTTCCCTTCCTATGTTTGGTCTTCGGGGGCATGAGAACACTTGCAAAAGAAAAAACAGTTCGTCAGTAACAAATAAATAAATAAATATAATTTATCAGTAATTATCATTCACAGATAAATTTTTTATCTGTACGGCAAAACAGAGTTGCGAATTGCACTCACTTGGCAGTTCTGCAGGTTGAGGAGGAGTGTGTGCCTGTTGTGCAGGAACAAGCCCCATATTGCTGGGAGCTGCGACACTACTTGCCGCTACTCCTGCTGTCCCAACAGAACCACCACTGGTTGAGGGTCCGGGTGGGGGGGCTGTAAAAATATCACATAATATCAACTATTTTTTTAAAGACTGATTTTGTATATACTTTGTTCTTATTTATAGAATTAGATATAACACACCATAAAAAAAGATATCTCAACCTCTTATCTTTTAATTATTTATGTATTTTTTTGTAGTTGTTAATTTAAATATTAAAATAGATACATATATATACATAAAATGTTGAATTAGCTATTAATATCCTTAATTAAATATCTTTTGAGAATATTAATGTTTAATTAAAATATTCCACAGATGTTTAATGAAATACATTCTAGTATCTCATAGGTTTTCGTTTTTTTCTTCTTTTATAGTTTAAAAAAAAGTAATAAGTAAATAATAATTAATTCTAGTAAGTAATATAAACTAAAATTACAATAAAAAATACAAAAGGTAATAAAATGTCACAAAGATAAGTAAATATTATATAATTAAAAAGCACTTAAGAATTACTAGTAATTAAAAATAATTAAAAGTAGTCTTTATAAAACTTTTATATAATGTTCTTTGTTCAAAATTAATTTCACAACAAATTCTTTTCAAAAATAAATTCATTTTATGAAAAACAACAAAATAAAATGTTCAAACTTTTTTCTCCGTAAATATTAACAAATTTAATAGTATATGAAATCCTGGAAGAGCCAGATATGCATGTATAAGTTGTTAATAAAACTTGGTCTTTGTATTAACTTTGTATTAAGAAAATGTATTGCAAAATGTTTCGACTGTACAGTACTCTGGTTTTTCCAGATCTTCATGTGACTTTTGATTGTACATTAGAACTTTATTATTTAAAAACAATCTTAATAAATTTTAGATGTATAAAGTTTAGTTCAATATTCTGCTAAAAATTTACAGCGATAAGCAGTTGGTGCTTCCAAAAGAAGACTGCAAAAATGCTTTGAACACTTGTTTCTGACACGAAATAGACCAATTTGCACAATTTATGTAACAAGATTATCTCTGTCGCTGTTAAAATTGTAGTTGTAACACTTGTATTTAAGAAAAAAAAAATCTCCTATACATATCAGTTTCCCATAATAATTCTTAAAGTACATATTCTACTTTTCTAATGTTTTAATGAGAATAAAGACTTAAAAAACTGCTTCAGATAAGCATACTTTCTAATTCGAGGCAGTCTTCTTCCATGAGACTCATATTATGACACATGCAGCACTAGCTTGCCTAAACTCAGGATAAATTTTCTATCTATACTATAGATTTGGATCTGAAAAAGAAATAAAATGGAAAATTACTAATTTCTCAATCAATTAGACAAGACCGTTTTTTTTTTTCTTTTTTTTTTTTTTTAATGGATCTTTCCTACTAAAGGTACGTAAAAAAAAAAAAAATACGGGGCCTTTATATAGTACTCGATCCTTTGTGTTAAGTGATAAGATCATAATCAAGAAAAAGAGAGAAACTCGTCGAATTGCTGGTTCAGGATTAGCTAATGCGTGAAGATGATCGAATTGCAGGTAAAGTGACGACACGCGTGCCTGTTGAACGAGGTTCATTCGAGGTCATTCTGCCAATCTTCCACGAACGTAACCGACCGTCGTCGTCGTCGTCGCGACGGTACTTTTCCCGCGACGTTTTTTCGGGAGACGCACACTCGGTGCCCCGACGAGGTGCGACAAAGGATCGAGAGAGAGGAGCATCCGATTTGCGAGATACCCTGAACGCTGATAGGCAAACCAACGAACTTGCGAACTGTGCGCGAGCTCGTTTGATCGCAAACGTCAGCGGGGGACGTTCGGGTGATAATTGTGTTTATACGGAGACGGTATTCACGATCATCCCGGGCGGATTCGACGACGCGGGAACACTCACGTTGTCCTGCCGAATACATTTCCGCTGCCGCCGAGTGTGAAAGACCAGATAACCACTAATAAATAAGTAAAAAATTCAACACACCAAGCCCCACTGGTTACACTACACCACGCTTCCCCACACGCACACTGCGACGACATCACCAAACGACTGTCCCTCCGCAATGGCGCCGCGTGCCGCGATTGGCTGCGCCGAGACCAATCGGATCGCGGCTAACGTCACGGCGCTACATGATTCTTCCAATCGACGCTAGATAACGCACTTGTTCCGCACGCTTTTTTCTCGCGGAATGCTTCGAACGATTTTTATTGCTTATCGAGAAATATCTCTTAGACGAGCGAGACACGCGTGAACTGTTTTTTTTCTTTATCGGTACACGAGTCAATCACCTTTTGGATTGACTTATCAACCGGCGGATTGAGCGTCAATTGTGCTTGTTCACTTTGACGTATCGATCGGGTTTTCAACGGAATAAAATCGACTAATTTATTAATTCGACATGTTTAAGCGCTGACTCATGAATTTCGTCGTTTATGTTTTTTTTTAAAGACAAATTTACATTTGTCGATGGTAAGTAGTTTTTTTTTTTTTTCAAGGTGATAATAAACTGTAAAACTAGCCTCTTTAAATATATGCGTTGAAAGAATCAATTATTTGCAATTATTTACGCAAAAATTCTGCGAGTAGACGCGACATGCGCGTGCGCGTGATCTCGACCTGCGCATAAGGAATTGCGACCAATCGCGTTGGTCAGTTTGGCAAATCGAACAATGCGATTGGTCTATTTCGCGAGTTCTATGATTTGCGACCTTTGCAGAGTGATAAAAAATTTTCATCCTAAAAACGAAACTCTATTTGTTTATCTATTTTTTTGTAAACTATAAACAAATTTTAATATAACAAAAATAATACTTTTGACATCTCGAGATGAAATTAAAATTCAAACCCCTTTTGTGTGAGCCAAGAAATTGGTTTGATTCCCGGCTTTGTGACGTTATCGACGTGGACAATCGCGCGGCTGTTGCCAACACAACTGTCAGATGGCAACACTGGGCTGCGGCGAATTCCGGAACTTCCGGCGGTAACGTAATTGTATCGAGCAATACGCACGTTTTGGCGTATTCTTGAGAGTGTTCTCGTCTACGCGAAATGGCGCTCCCCTTTAGCGGAATCCTTATCCGCTCTCCTACTCTAGTGGATCTGGCCAGCACCCAGGTGAAACTCATCAATTTAAAGCCTGTCAAAAGGATCATCGTCCGTTTCGACCCATTCCACGAGAACGTCACCGAGACGAGGTTAGTTTCTCCCCTTGATGAATTTGTCCTCAATCGGTTGTTGATATTCCGCGGGAATATCAAATGCGCAATTGTTGCGCAAGACGCGTAATATCGATTGTGTTTTAATTCAATATCGCGCGTTGCATATTTTTTCGAACAATTTCGCCTCTTCGTACTTTTTGCGAGAAAGATGTTTTGTCTTTGTTAGAATTGCAAACGGAGAAGATTTATATCGAACGTGTGTTTTTATTTTCGAACCATATATAAAATCGATTCTCACACGAAAAGGTTGACGAACGAATATTTCGCCATAGACTTATATATAAATAGACCCAGCGTTCTGTGAGAGGAGTTGTCCGCGTCTTCTAAAGGACGGAACGATATGCATCCAGGTGCTGTCTCCGTCGCTCCGCCGGTCTGGAGGGGGAACGTCGATGGATAACGTTGAAGGAAAGCGAACTTAAAGGCGCGTGTACCGCACTTGTATGTGTTTTGCTCGAAATTCTTCTGACCGTGGTATGCTTGAAAAAAAAGTTTCTATTATTATATATAGATTGTTGGTTAGATGTAACTATTTTTACTGCAATTCAAAGTTATTTACGTACGTATGAAATGTAATATCTGCATGGGAGCCACAATGCGATTTGCAAATGCAACACTGAGACATTTTCTGTCTTTTTCCGTGTAACCTAACCTAACCCTATTACACATATAAGTGCGGTACACGCGCCTTTAAGTTCGCTTTCCTTCAACGTTATCCATCGACGTTCCCCCTCCAGACCGGCGGAGCGACGGAGACAGCACCTGGATGCATATCGTTCCGTCCTTTAGAAGACGCGGACAACTCCTCTCACAGAACGCTGGGTCTATTTATATATAAGTCTATGTATTTCGCAAGCGATCAGTTAAGGTTTGGTCGAAATGACGTCGATAGCGCACGCACGCGCAATTCGCAACCCCCGTCGTCGTCGTCGCGAGGCTAGCAGACGATGCGCAATCCCCCTCCCCGTCGTTATTTATAGAAGTGTCTCGATTGTGCGCTGAAACATTCCGATCGCAGAAACATTTTCGAGTTGCTTCTGTGCTCTGCATTTCCTCAGGAATATAATCCGGGATATTAGACGCCATTGAGGGCGACGACGTGAGAGGTAAAGACCAGAGAAAAACACCCTTCGCGACACATCGATCACACTCGTGCAATTTTGACATTTGGACAATCGTGGGCTGCGCTCGATACCGTTCGTGACGCGGTACCGACACGCATTACGGTGTTATATGCGCGATCGTCTATCTCTTATATATCATTTTTGTTATTGTCAAATATACATTTACGTACATTTTTGCTATTTTTAAAGTAGAAAAATGTCACTTCGATCTGAGAATCTTCAATGGCGAATCGAATCGATCTGTCCTTAATTGTTCCGCATTTTACTGTTTCGTTTATTTTCTCGAATTTATTATAAAAAAATTTTTCTGAATCACTTAGTTGTTTAATTAATCAGAAACCGTTTTTTGTTTTGATCTCTTCAACTGACAATTCAGAGTAGAGATGTTTATAATAGAGATGATGAGATAGAAGAGTTTAAGTAGGTTGAGATATTTTAAGACTCTTATATATTTAAGAGATGTGTTTTAAATTGTAAACAATTTCTTAATGTGATTGTGTGAAGATCAGATAAACTTAATCTTTGGAATGCGATGATTTTTTTTAGCTGAGAAACAGCATCATCAAGCGTTATTTTACACCCGACTAACACTGTTGCGTCATTTTTTAAGATTAATAAGTTACTCGCACATTAACATTCGTGTCTCACATGAGCCTCATGAGAGTTGTGTGTACATAATTTATTATTCATTTTATTTATTTATTTATTTATTTATTTATTTGTCAGTTTTTTTCTCGCGACATTTCCTGCGTTTTTCTTATTGCTTAAGTAAATGGCACTCACCGTTACATTGGCCACATCCATATGCTTTGCCAAGCATGGAAACGGCTGTGGTTATACGAAGGGTACTTAAATCTGGCATTGGAATCGGTAATTGCTGTTCCATTTGTGCCATTTTGCCTGCGGAAGAAACGACGAAACTTTTGAAAATTATCATTAGGGAGATGACGAAGCTGGCGGATTTTTTTTTTTTTTTTTTTATTACAATGACAGTGTCGCGAAGATTCGCTCAAAGCTAAAGAAAGAAAAAAGACAGCATGAGAATGGAAAACAAATTTAAACGTTTATAAAAAATTCAATTTTTATAAACTTCGAAAAAAAGAGAAAGTATTTACAGGCGTAAAAAGTTAATGCGATTACTTTTTGCAGATAATACACAAATATGTAACATGCACAACACCTCTTATTTTGCAGAAGGTTTCTAACTATCCTTACCTATCCGAAAGTCGTTAAGACAAATCCGTACTGTGTACTGAAAACAGATGTCGTGTGCGATCGCTCCGAACCAACAATCACGTTCAATCTTCGTGAGTATAGTAAAAATCATGTCACACGTTTTATACTGTGTTCCATTGCGCGTTTCATTGGTCCTCAAATGTCGCGAGATTTGCATTCACGTGCGAGCGTTGAACAAACGTTGTGCAACGCGCAGAGAAAGAGAGAAAGAAAGTATTTAAAAAAAGAAAACACATTTTATTAAAATTGTTTAAAAACAATAAATGTACAGATATATAAATTGATCGAGATCTCCGATATTTTGTACATAAAACAAACTCTCTAAAAAGTTAAACCGACTCATTACTCTCGTCCATAAGTGATTAAGTCAATCGATTGTTTAATCAATTATTTGTTTATTTATATCCGTTCTTTCACGGTCAAATGTCTCAGCAAGTAGGTCACACTCGACTCCTATTTACTTTTCAGAATCGGATGAAAAAGTGATATTAAAGACAGCTAATTTATCGTGCCTGAACATTTTGGAGCTTTACAACAAGCACATTACTTCCTTAGTTCCGCCTGATCCACTTGAGCTTGAGATAAAGGCTCTGGTGGAACTCTTGAACGAGAGGAAAAAACGGAGACTAAAGAAAGCACCTAAACGAAAAGAAGGAAGCAAACACAGAGGAGAGATAATAAACGAAGAAGAAATATTGAAAGAACTCAAAAATCTAAGTCTCTAATTTTATGGGGACTTACTGAATGTGGAATTTATGCCTGGTAATAAAATCAGTATCGGGTGTTATTTTTTTTGTGTGATATGTGTGTATGTGTATGCAGTTTTACGAAAGAGCTCATTTGTGAACACAAGTATTTCTAGATTTACATGATAGATTTTTTTCTTATTCTGCGATTGACTTAAAAAAAAAAAACTATTTTTTTAACTTTATGATTTGAGAAGGTTTTTTGATTATTTATAGCGTAAAAAGTTAAATTATTTTTTCTTAATTCTGTATAAATGTTAAGAAAAGAGATTGCAATGAATAAGTCTGCAATGATTATTTCTATTCTTGCAGGGTTTTCGATAATATCTCGCTAAACCTTGTGAGAAGTATTGATTAAATACATCTATTTCTAATATCTGATTCGTGCGGTTGAATTGAAAATTTTTCGACTGCACGTAAGTCGATTGTACAAAAGAAGTAGCCCGACGTATATCGATTCGAAATTTAAGAAATGGGGAGACGTGTGGGAAGCAGCAAAGATTACAATTTAAGACTCATCGACGAGATCTACAGTCAAGTTCCAGCCTTCACCGATGTGTTTGACGAAGAGACCTGGTATATTTTTGTCGCGTGTTTCGTTGCGGCCACCTTACTGGTGGCATTTATTCTCTCGAGATACATAACTATAAAGCCCCTCGATTGAGGAATTAAAATTCATCAAGATGTCTCGCGTGTATCGTTATCGAAAGTTCTACGTGCGTATGTGTCATTGATGTGTGTGGGTGTGTGCGTATAAAATTTTCACGCACACGGCAATTATGTCAACTCCGTACGATAACAAATTCTTATTCTCACGCGATTAGCAAGAGTCGCTGCGCTGATTAGTATCGCAAGAAAAGATGTGCAATTTTGTGAGTGTAATGTGTTACAGATCGCTCGTGCGCTCTAACAAATCAATAAAAAGCGTTCGAAAGCAACTTCTGTGGGAAATGTATTTGCAGAAATCAAACCCTGTTTTTAATTTACTTTCGTTCTCTCTATAAATTTTTTTGCGTGAATATTGATTTTTTTTAATCAGTTAATTAACGCACATTGATCACAATAACTTTTTCTCAATGTTTTTCAATATATTTATCAAACTTATATTACAACTTATATAGGGAAAACTATACTTCTCTACTATTTGTGTATTATTTATTTTTATTTGTCAATGCTCTTTCGTAAGCATTTTGTTTTTGTTTTTACACGATCGCGAATAAGTTTTAGATTTTATTTCTATTACAGTAGCAATTTTCGAAGAAAACTCTATACTACGCTTCGACTACTGTCTTACAATTTATAACAGAATGCACGGGCAAAATGTTCGTGAGTTAACAGAGAAGTTCAGCGGGTTAATATGATTCTTGTTTTTCAAGTTCGCCGAGTGGTTCTACCTCTCCGTTCTTCTGTCTTTCCACTTTTCTCCTCTTTCTCTCTGTCTCTCTCTTTCCTCTTCCTTTTCCTTTATCTCGTTCATACGTAAGTACGTTTTACTCCTTTCATTCTTTGTCCATCCTGGCTGCGCTATCGTCCTTCCACGGACGTCTGTTCTCTTTTTAAATTTACAATACCAATTCTCTCTTTCTCTTATTCTCGGTACCCGTCTGTTACTCTCGTATTTCGGCTCGGATCGCTAAGAAAAATCGACATATATATATATCTCTGTTGTATAAAAAAAAAAAAAAAAAAAATTAATTATCAGAAAATAAGAACTCGCCCGCGCACACTCGATATCGCTTCAACAATTTTGCCTTCGCGATTAACGTCGCCGTAGATTAGCCAGATGCACGCACCGAGGCGCGATATACATGTTTTACGCTAGTGATAATAAAGAGTCATAATGCACAAAAGCTAAACGACACAGCAACCATAGTTTCCACCATGCTAGTACTGTAAAACTAAAAAGTAGGTATGCATATAGAAAATTGTGTGATACACGTAAACATTTATCAAATTTTTATACAAATTTTGTACAATTGTGCGTGTAACAGTAAATTCATAAGTGGCAAGTATGTCAGAGAACTAAAATAGTATTAAAATTGTTGGATAATCCGCGCAGATCTTGGAAAAAAAAAAAAAAAACAACAGACACAAAGCGGATTAAGCAGTATATCGGAAAAAAATTATAGAACAAAGCGGTACGAAAGCACAGAGATTTAAAGCGCACACAGTCGCAAAATCAAAGACAACTTCACTACATAGTCATAGATAAAATAGCTTTAACTCTTCCAAGACTCGTTATTTTATTTCTGTTACATATTTTAAAAATATACAACAAAGCAAAACAAATCTGTACAATTGGAGAACGGGAGTTTTAAAAGAGTTAAGATATTTTTAACATAACGATATCTCGAAAGTGAAAAACGACAATATATCGTAACGAGTCCAATTTCGGATATCATCAAAATCTTCCTTTTTTTTTTTTTTACACGTCTGTATATCGAAAATTGAACTCGGGCGGGAATTTTCGTCGGCTTAAATTGGAAAAAAAAGCGTGCGATGATTTTTCGCTCTCGCGGCGCACATCGGGCGCGCTCACCTTGTTTTTTTTTGCGTATCCTTACGAGATGACAGATGAATTATGACACACACAACGAAGAATCGCGAGAAAAACGTTTCTCTTGCACAGCGCGCTCGGTTTCTTCACTTCACATTCCCGGCGCTCACAATCGGCGTTTGCTCTTCGCGCGCGTGCGTGCACGCGCAGCAGAACACGACGATGACGCACTTTGTGTATTGTTCCGTCTGCGTGCGTGCGTGCGCGCGAGACTACGTGGTCGCGGCAGCGCAGCAGCTGCTATCACTCGCGAAACCCGGGAAATCGCATTCCTCACCCGCCTCCTCCACGAAGTCAACGTTCACGTTAGAAGACGCGATATTCTTCCTGCAACATCAACATACGTCACATTAACGCACATTCACTCTTTTGCACATTTTTATTTTCGCGTCTCTACGTTCCTTCCTATTCCCGCCGAGAAATTTTACTTCACCCGCTCGTGAGAAATATACTCTTAATAAAAAAAAAAAAAATAAAAAGTAAAAAATGTGTATGTGTGTGTGTGTGTATAAGTTTTTTTAAAGATACAACTTTTTTCTCTTGTATTTAGCAAAGAGATAGATAGAAAATGAGGTGAACAAAAATGTTCTTTTCAAATGGGTATCTATTAAATCTGATAACGCCGACAACTGCTGACGTAACGTAACAGATAGCGAATTACTTCTTGAAACAATAACTCCGCATTTATTTTAAACGCTCGCGAGTTATATCATTGCAAACTTCGAAAAGAAAAACTTTTATTTATCTATATATTGGGTTATAAAACTCAAGATGTTTCATAAGATTGGATAGCGTTACTTTATTGTTCAATTTGCTTGTATTTTGCTTTTCACGCCTTGTAACAAACATCAATATTCCTAGGATATAACCAGAGAGAATCCTGGTTGTGTGCAACAGATCCAAATATAGGTGGTGTGTTTTATTTTCTCAATATAAAACGGGATTTTAATTCACGTTTCGTTTTCAGTCGCGATGTTCCAGTCTCAAGATTTCACCGTCAGTAACGATGACAACCTCTACAACAAGTGTGTAACCCGTGAATTATCAGACTCTCTTCGATCACCTGTGGCGATGAATTTTGAAAAACCGCGGCCTCAATCAGTACGCGCTGTCGAATGTGAGAAAGAGAGAGAGAAGAAAATGCCTCGAACTTCCGTTCGACGATACGCACGCACCGAAGCGCGCACGTACTTCGCGTGCAAGTGCGCTCTTGTGCGCGCTGCTTCCCATGTGTCTCGTGTGTTTTCGTCGTATGTACGCCGTATAAAAAAGATGACGGAAAAGAAATTGGGTCGTCCGACCGGTCGCGCGAGTGACGTTTCTTCGCGCACGTTTTTGGCGAGCGATAACACAGCGATCAGTCACGAAAACGTCAACGTTTGGTTTGAAATTTTTAGTCTCACCATTTTCACACAAAATTTCAACAATTTATACATATTTTTGTAGATGTAATTATCAGTTAATTATATCATCACACAATTATTACGTGATGATTAATTAATGTGATTACATTGAAATAATCAAGAAATTTTTGTTTTTTTATCCGATTATCTCATATTTTCTGAAGTTTAATTGATAGTTTTGACGAGAATACTAGACTTGACAAACATCGTAAAACACGTCATAAAGCCGCGAAGTAAAATTCGACGCAGTATATCGTTCGCCGCTTATAAATGACGTATACGTGCATTACATACTCCTATGTGTGCGTCAACATGTATGTTTCGAATTGAATTACATTGTTTAATAAGCGACGTTATTGCGTTTTTTCGCAGGTTCTCGCGATTTTCTCCCGCACGCGGGTAAGGCGAAACGTACGTGTACAGTGACACGCGTCGCCACGACACCGGGACTACGACGTGAAGGAAGCGCGAGAACAATGATTCATACCGTCTGCTCGGCGACCGATGACACTTGTATAACCTTTCGATTCGATGCCCGCGTTGGTTTTTATCGTGATTAACTATCGCGTGACGCAAATCCCGTGATCGGCGTTTATCAAAACAAAGAAAAGTTCCCGCACGAAAACAAACTCGGGAACGGACGTGGTCGGACGCGTGTCTTTCTTTCTCCCGAAGCGTGGATCCCGTTCCTACGTTGACGTTCTTCACGCGGAACACTTTTGCGTCTTCCAGCCGCTCTCGGTCCGCCGTCGCCGTTCCGGCTTGCCCGCTCTCTTGGCTCAAGGCGCGCCCGCGGTCGTCACTTTCACTCGCGACACGATACCGTCGGACGCGCGATTCTCGCGGCGCTGAGCCGCCAAAAACGATCACCAAGTGTCAAGGTTGCCATTGTGCACACGTATGTACGCGACGGAGGATGCGCGCGTGTAGCGAGTTCGGGAGAGCGCGGGTATCGCGCCCTCGCACACAACCTCACGCGGCCGTCCGTCCCCCCTTATGTCCTCGTCTCACCTCGTCGCCCCTTCCTTTGCGTTCACCTATTCTACGCTTACTTGCCTGCCCGGTTGCTTGTCTCTCCGTGCGCCCGCTTCGCTCTCCTCCCCCTTCCCTCCTCTCTTTCTCTCTCTCGCTCCCGCCACTTAAAGCACCGCCGCCACCACCACCGCCGTCGTGGGTACCGCTATCACAACAATAGCATTATCGCCGATACCCGTAGCTTGTTTCACGATGACACTGACCGCGGTGTTGACTCGCCGCGACCGAAGTTGGATCGCGCTCGCAAAACTGTAAACGAGACTCTGCGTTCGCGGCCGGCACCGACGCGTTATGCCCGCCGCGGCTTTTTCCAGCGAAATTTCGCCGTGGCGCATTCGCCGATCAGCATTTCGCGAGGGAGTTCCCCCACTACGGCTCGCGTCCTGATCCGCGCGCAGCCGCGACCGCGCTCTCAGGGCCGGCGCGAGCGGCGGGAGCCCTTCGCATTACGCCGGAGCTTGTTTACAAACAAATGCCCGGCTGACCGTTTCCCGGAGCAGCTGCTGCGCCGCCGCGCGGTTCCTTCGGCCGTTGCGCGGATCTTCCGCCAGTGACGCGGGAGTTTGCTCCCCTCTTCCTCGCTAACTCTCCCTGATATTCTCTCGCTGATAAAATTGATGAAACGAATTAATCTATCTCTTCGCGCGTTTTTTTTTTTTTTTTTTTTTTTTTTTTTTTTTTTT